TACAGCATCAAGCAATCATTACCACTATCCATCTCCAGAATTTTTTCATTATCTGAAGTTGAAACTGTTACCAATACCTGCCTCCCTCCTGCCCCTGGTAACCTCCAATCTCCTTGCTGTTTTCATGAATTCAACTCATGTCAGTGGAATCGTGCCATATTTGTCCCTTCACATCTGGCATATTTCACTTAGCATAATGTTTTAAATACTTAATCTATGTTGGAGCATGTGTCAAAATTTCATTCCTTTTTAAGACTGATTAATACCCCATTGTACATATATATATTTCCTTCATCCACCTATGTGCTAATGGACACTTGAGTTGTTTCCTTCTCTTGGTTATTAACAATGCTGCTGTGAACATTGTCATACAAATATCTGTTCAAGCCCCTGCTTTCAATTCCTCTGGGTATATGCCTAGAAGTGGAATTGCTGGATCACATGCTCATCACTGTGTGTAACTTCTTGGGAAACCGCCAAAGTGTTTTGCATAGCAGCTGGACCATTGTACATTCCCACCAGCAATACCCAGGGGTTCCAACCTCTCCACATCCTCACCAGCAAGAGCAGAAGAGGGTGGAAGGAGTCCTGAACTTTGAGTTGAAGGAAGTCAAGTACCATTTCTAGTTCTTTCTTTTTATTCTCTCCCTTCCCAACTCTATAGGCTGATGATCAGGGTCCATCATTGCTCTGACTGGGGGTTGGAGGGGGTGTATTTGTCTCTGCGGGGCTCCACTCTGCACTTCTTGTGCAGTTGAAAACCCCAGGGATGAAGCTTGGGGTGGATCTGGAGGTTACAGGCCCAGACCCCTCCTTGGGCATTTGAAGTGTGGCAACCTGTCGCAGAGTAAGGAGAAAGCCAGGAGTTGGCTCAGCTGCTTTTCAGTTCTCCAGGTTGGACTGAGGATACAGCGAGGTTAGGAGACCAACCCAACATGCCCTCTCCACTCCTGGCTCCCTCTGGGGCTTCTTGGAAAGGTTTTCTGTGCCTTCTGCCTTTGTCCCATGCTGCTTGTCATGGATTGAATAGTGGCTCCAAAACGTCTGTCCAAGTCCTAAGCCCTAGAACTTATGAATGATGTTATTTGGAACTAGAGTCTTTGCAGATATTAAGATCTTGGGATGAGATCATCCCAGATTTAGGGTTGATCTTAATTCCAATGACAAGTTTCTTCTTAAAATATAGGAAAGGGGAAGACAGAGACACAGGGATGAAGGTCATGAAGATGGAGGCCAAGGTTGGAGTATGCTGCCACAATCCCAAGATCACCAAGGGTTGCTGGTAGTCACTGGAAACTGGGAGCAAAGCACAGAACAGATTCTTCCTCTGAGGCTCCAGACCTGTCTACGCCTCAATTTTGGACTTCTGGCTTTATCTGAGTCAGATAATTTTATTCTTTGAGTCTAGAGTTTGGGATTCTGAGAGCAAGGTGCCAGCATGGTTGTCTTCTGATGAGGGCTCTCTTCCTGACTTGAAGATGATCACCTTCTTGCTCTGTCCTCACATAAGAGAAAGAGAAACAGAGAAAAGAGTGTAGAAGCCCTGTGGTGTCTCTCCTTGTCAGGGCACTAATCCCATCATGAGGCCTCACCCATGTGACCTCATCTAAAGCTCAGTATGTCCCAAAGGCCTCATCTCCATATACTCCAACATGTGAGATTGGGGGAAGGGTACAGTTCAGTCTGGATTGTCCATGGAAATGTGAGAGAATAAATTTCTCTTGCTTTAAGGCACCTGCATTACCAAAGCCCAGGAGACTCCTACAGTTTCCCTCACTTTCCCAAAGACCCTGATCCTCACTGAGACCAGCAGTCCAAAAGAAGACTGGGGCATCTGAGTTCTGAAAAATTCCTGCCCCACTTGCAGTCTGTGCACCTCCATCACAACGTCCCTGCCTTGTGTTCTGCTTCCTCTGCAAGCTCCTTATTTCCTAAGAAGCCATCCTGCCATCCAGACGAGCTCACCAGCAGAGCTACACAGGACCAGCCAGGGCTGGTCCTCAACAAACACCTCTCAGTGAAGCAGACCAGGTGCCCCCACCAAAGAGATCCCCTACCATATTTATACCATATAAGCTTCTCCAGGGACCTCCCCACATAATTGAGCTTCTCTTCTAGTTAGAAAGATTTTTACACAGGATAGCAACAAAAACTTCTGCAGAGGACATTGTGGTTTATAGCTTCCTCTTTTTGCAAATGTCAGGTTTGCAGACAAAAAAAAAAACCACAAAAAACTGGTAAACATATATTTATCCATAAAAATATGGATAAATAGCAACTGTTTTGTACCCCCCACTGACATGTAGCCACCCCACTGAGTATAAAGACTTTCCAGACTCAGTGTCCAGAGATTTTTAGGCCATAGATACTCTGGGCTGCTGCAGCTAAATAAACTTGCTTCCTGAAAATACCTCAGGTGTCGCTCATCTTCTGTCCTACATCATCACTAGGGAGATGAATCCTAGCACCCCCACCCCCTTTCTTTTCATTGGTGGCCTTCTGGAAACTGGGCCTTCCCTAAGGGACAAGATGTGGAGCATTAAAATCTTGGGCTTGGCAGCAGATTGCCGGCACTGATGTCTGGGCCGATGCAGGACACACTGTGGCATTGCTCTGTGGACTCAGGACCAAGCCTACTGGCTCCCAGGATGGGAGCGGAGGAGTGGGGAACATGGGAGAGGGCATCACTTTTGGGGGAGAGGAGGATTATTTGATGTAACAGAAATAGAATGAGAGCAAGAGTTCACAGACCTGGTTTGTCTACTTAGCTCTGTGACCCGAGGGAAGCCACTTCTCTGGCTTCCCTCGGGTCACAGAGGGTAGGGTATGAGGTGATTTTTTTTTTTTTTTTTAGTCTTTTCTCTATCTAAAGTTGGTGATCAGGGACTCGAGCCTTTAGTTTGCTCTTTTCTTAAAAATTGTGGTAAAATATATAGAACATAAAATTTATCATTTTAATCATTTTTAAGTATGTAGCTCAGTGGTGTTAAATATATGCACAATTTAGTGCCACCACCACTCTCCATCTCCAGAACATTTTTATCTTTCCCCCCCCAAAAAAAAATTTGATTACATTAAATAGTATCCCCCTACTCCCCAATTCCCCTATCCCAGTTTTTGATAACCTCTATTTTGTTTCTGTTTCTTTAAATTTATAGGTACCTCATATAAGTGGAATCATAGAATATTTGTCCTTTCCTCGGGCTTATTCCACTTATAATGTTTCTGAGGTTTCTCCACATTATAGCATAGATCAGAATTTTATTGCTTTTGAAGGCTTAATAATACTGTATTGTATACACATCACGTTTTGTTGGCCATCTACCCTCAGTGGACACAGAGTTCTTTCTTTCGGCTATTTGCTTCTTTGAACATTGGCTTACGGGTGTCTGTTCAAGTTTCCACTTTCAATTCCTTTGGGTCTATACTAGGAATGGAATTGCTGGATCATACGGTAACTCTGTGTGTAACTTTTTGAGGAACTGCCAAACTATTTTACCTTTAAAATAGGGAAACCGTTTTATCCTCCAATGAGGACACCCCACCCTTCTAAAAGTGTGTGATGGGGAGTCTGTTGGAGGACAGAAGCTACCTGAGCTCAGGCACTCTGTCTGTACCAGCCAACATTGTCCCTGGAGCTGACATGGGTCAGGTGTGTTTGATGTTCTGAAGGCCTTTTCTGAGCCCAGAGTCACATGGTTTCTCATTCTAGGCTAAACTATATTGAGACTGGAAGTTAACTTCAGAGAGAAAAATCATTGGGGCTGGGATTGTGGCTCAGTGGTAGAGCGCTCGCCTAGCATGCATGAGGCCCTGGGTTCGAACCTCAGCACCACATAAATGTAGAATAAAGATATTGTGTCCACCTCAAACTAAAAAATAAATATTAAAAAAAAAGAAAGAAAAATCACTTCCTCTCTTCTTCAGAACTTTAGAAATGGTGATCCTGTGTGCACACATTTCTGGTTTCATTTGTAGGAATTGAACCCCAATGATTGATGTAAAGACTGAGAAAAAAAATGCAGGCAATGTAACTGGGAAGGTGGAAAGATAGTTGACACTAAGGCCCAAGTGCTCAAGAACACTGAACAGAGTCACAGAATGGTCTTGATCAAGGCAAGGGTGACAGGAGAGCAAGCGAGCAGATGCCTGAACCAGCTGAGAGTTGCTTTGGAATCTCAAGGTCTGGGTTCAAATCTCAGTTCTTCTACTAGCAGTCAAACTTAACCTTCTTGAAATCAGTTTTCTCCTTTGTAAATGAGGCCATTACAGGGATGGTATGAAAATTGTTAGGATGAAATAAAACCACATAGGTGAGATGATTCCCATAGTGCCTGCAACTCGTGCTCAATAATGTTGCCACCTGTTTTCCTTCAAACTTGAGAATCAAAACCAGGTTCCCTGTTAAATTGGGACACCTAGGGCTCAGGTGTAGCTCAGTGGTAGAAGGTATGTATAGCATGCACAAGGCCTCAGATTCAATCCCTAGCACCCCCCCCCACACACACACACAAATAAAAAAACACCAGAGGAAACCCCCCACACCCCAGTTCTTAGAAATCTATTTTAAAACATAGATTTTTGAGGCTGTTTGCATTTCCATGGTCATTCTAGAAATTACTTTATTTCCTTTCTATTGTTTCCTCTCTGCAAATCAAATGGTTAATCTTTTGGGGGGCGGGTACATGGGGATTTTTTGGTAGATACAAAACTGATTCTTAAGCAAAGGACTCTATTCCAAAAAAAAGAAAAGAAAAAGAAGAGGAGGAGGAAAAAAGAAGAGCAACAAAGAAAGCAATTAGCAATAATAACACAACAGAAAATCTTGGCTATCTGGTAAAACCCTTCCAGATGCCATTTGGAAATGAACACTTCTATAAAGGGTCCAGTTTCATTTACTGAGAAGGATTCACTCTCCAGGGAGACATGGCAGAAGTGCAGGGAGAAGCAAAGGGGAATCACCCAGAGGCCATGACCTCATGTAAATGGACACGGTTACTATTAATAATAAGTGCAGAAAACTTCATGTTTGATAAGAGAGAATATATCTAAGTATACAAATCCTACTTTTTCTCATTTTATTCTGCTCTGGCAGGTCCTGGGGCAGAGCTAGGCTCAACGTAACTTCTCATCCTTGCTGGTTTAATTCAATGAGCCGACCTGCAAACACAGCCAGAGTGCCGATGAGACAGACAAGCATGAAGACTCCGAGGAGAATGTGGTCCATCACCATTGCAACATACTTCCACTCTTCAGACGCCTGGGAGAGGGGAGAGTGTTAGAATTCCACTAAGCTGATTATTAGAGACTTACAGAGTTCATGCTACATATCATCGATGGGTCCTTTAATTTGTAGGTCTCAAAGCCCTCCACATCCCTTGGCTGGCATGATCTTTAACTTTTGAATAATAATTCACATCATGATGAGTTACTAAGGTGACCTAGAGGTGGTCCCCTAGGTACACGTTAGGTTGGTGGCTGCATCTTGAATGCCAGCTTAACTGTCAAAACAAACCCATTTGTCTGTACTCATGCATTTGATCATTTAAACCCAGAGGGGAAGATTTCAAACTGTAGAGCTTACGTTATTGGACTCCTGGTCTGACTTCATGGTCTCTGCGATGTACTTGACGCCCTCAATGGCACTTTTCACCTCGGGATGTTTGATCAGGGGAGAGTGGAAGCCCATGGGTGGAGGCCCTGGTTTCCCAGAAATGTCAGAAATATCAATATCTTCTGTAAAAATCTTTTTGTCTTGTTTATCTCTGGATGGTCTTTTCATTGTGGAGAAAAACATAATATTTGGGATAGTGTCGATAAAAACCTAATAAAAAAGCAATCCATGTATGAGAATTATTGTCAACACAGGCAAACATCAAACTCTGAATTACCAACATGATCTTGGGCAAGCCATTCAACGTATCTCAGCCTCAACCTTGACAGGCTCCTTGTCTTTAAAACAAAAAGAACCACATTAGATGTTCCCAAAGACTCCTTCATATCCACTCCTGACGTGTCAAATTACAGTGGTCCTGATGATTCTGTAATATGAACAGTTTGCCACCAGAGGGAGCCTGTGAGCAGCCGGCAACCTTTCGGACACCAGACACCAGCAAGCCTTTTGCTTCAGATCCCCCTGTAGGCAACAGAAAGGTCCTAGTAATGTGTTTCCAGGATCACTTAGTTAAAGAAAGGGCTCTTTGCCTCCTGTATAAATTTCTGTCCCCCAAAATAGGTAGACTTTTTTCTTCCCTTTCTTTATAAAGAAACTGCAACATGGGTATTGCCAGGAGTCAAGGAGGACTGCTAATTGCCTCCAAAGAGTACATGGTAACCATTAGTTTCTCTGGCAATTCATGACATAAAGATCCTGGGCTTTAGTGTCTCTGAAGTTTATCCAAAAGAGCACATATTTGGGCTGTGGGTGTAGATCAGTGGTGGAGTGCTTTCCTTGCATGTGTGAGGCTCTGGGCTTAATCCCAGCACCAAAGGGGATGGGATTTGAAATGTCAGTGCATTTTTAAATCCAGCAATGTAAACATTTGAGACAAAATTCCTCACTTTTGTGTTATTTCCTCAAGCCCTCTGTTTTAGTTGGCAGTTTTTGCCACTGTGACCACAAACCTGACAAGAACAATTTGAGACAGTTTATCTGACACTCGAGGTTTCGGAGGCCTCAGTCCACAGATGGCCTACTCCATTGCTCTGGGCCCAAAGGGAGGCAGAGCATCATAGGGGTAGGAAAGCAGCTCAGGACATGGCAACAAGGAAGCAGAGAGAGAAAGAGAGAGAGAGCTCTGCTCAGCAGGGACAAAATATAGAACCCAAAGGCACGACCCCAGTGACCTACCTCCTCCAGCTACACCTGACCTGCCTATAGTCACTACCCATTTAATCCCTGTGAGTGGATTCATCCACGGGTTAGGTTAAAGCTCTCATAACCCAATCACTTAACCTCTAAAAAGTCTTGCATCATCTAATACATAAACTTTTGGGGGACACATCATATCTAAACCCTAACACCCCTCTTCCATCTCTAAATCTCATTCTATTCTCAGCTGATGATTTTACTAGCAAAAATAAGTAAGTCTGTCCCAAATTGAAAGACACACAAATGGAAATCTTAAGAATGTCACAGCATAAAAAAAGATGGAGATTTATTCATCTCTATTCAAAGAGATCCTTTAAACTTGAATTTAGAATGTGCTTTATAAATTCTGGTATTTTTTTTTTCCTTTCTCTCTCATGAGTTGTCCCTAGAAAGAAGACAAGGAAAGTTCTTCACCCAAGTCCCCTGAAGTCCAGAAAGGACATAGGTTTCTAAATGTGCGCAAGTATTGGCTAGAACAACACTGGCTCTTGTCTAAGGGGGGACCTGGAAGTGTCCTCCCTATGTGCCGCCTGCACTCACCTTCCGCACCCACTCGGGCATCACGTGGGTGCTGGGAGAGCGGTGGTGTGTGTTGATGACAATGACGGTGATAATGATGGATGCGATGACGAACACCATGGTGAACAACATGTATTTTCCAATCAAGGGCACGGCACTGGAGGTGGAAGGGATCAGCTCCACAATGACCAGAAGGAACACAGTCAAGGACAGTAAGACAGAGATGCTCAGCGTCATTTTCTCTCCTAGGAAGACAAAAAGAAGAAACCCAACAACCCACCATGATGGACAGAATTGGCCCCTCCCATGTATATATTGAAATTCTAAACCTCAGGATCTCAAAATCTGTATTTGAAAGATAAGACCTTTAAAGGTAATTAAGTTTAAATGAAGTTATATGGGGTCCCTAATCCAATATAACTGGTGTCCTTCCAAGAGAGAATGTGGACACAAACCATGTGAGGGCATGGGAGAAGGCGGTCACCTGCAGAGCAGGGAGAGAGGCCTCAGAAGAAACCAATCCTGCTAATACCTTGATCTCAACTTTTAGCTTCCAGAATGGTGACAAATGAATGTCTGTTGTTTGAATCACCCAATCTGGTACTCTGTCACGGCAGCCCTTGCAAGCTTATTTACCACTGAAATCCAATGGTGAAGGAATGTGACCCATGTTCATGAAACATCATTGTAGAAATTTTTTTTCCTGCATAATTTCCTGTGTGACTTTAACTGTACCCATGATGACAAGTGGCAAGATGTTCCATGAGAGGGTGCCAAGAAGTAAATGTCTACTTCATCTCATGCCCCAGGATTTTGTTTCTTGGTGGAACCTAGGGAGCTGAGAGGGATTATGGGTTGGCAAGCAGACTCAGGGTGGCAGGCTTTCCTTCTGCAGCAGAATGTGTTAAACTGCATAAAATGCAACCACATGAATAGCCACTGCAATCCCGAGCAAAAAGACCAATATCTGATTTCAAAATATACTACCGAGCCATAGTAACAAAAAAAGCATGGCACTGGCAAAAAAAAAAAAAAAAGGCATGTAAACCTACTGAAGAGAATAGAGAACCCAGAGACAAACCCAGCTATGGCCATGTGATCCATGACAAAGGTGCCAAAAGCATACATAAGAGAACCTTCAATAAATGTTGCTAGGAAAACTGGATAGCCATCTGTAGAAGATTGGAACTAGATCCTGTTCTCTTACCCTGTACAAAAATCAATTAAAAGTGGGGCTGGTGTTGTAGCTCCGTGGTACAGCACTTGTCTAGTATGTGTGAGGCATTGGATTAGATTCTCAGCATCACATATAATTAAATAGAGGTCCATCAACAACTAAAAAAAATTTTTAAAAAATCAATTATAACTCTATTAGACTTCAGTATAAGACCTGAAACTGCTAGAAGAAAACACTTCAGATAAGAGGCACAGGCAATGACTTCCTGATTAGGTTCTATTGCTCAGAAAATAATACATTTGACAAATGAGATGACATCAAATTTTAGAAGCTTCTGCACAGCAAAGAAAACAGTAAAGAGAGTGAAGGGGCAGCTTACAGAACAGGAGAAAAATCTTTGCCAATTACTCTTCTGACAGGGAATTAATACACAAAATAAAAACCAAAATAATAATAATGACCAAAAAACCCCACCAAATAACCCTATCAATAAATGGGTAAATAAACTGAATAGACATTTCTCAAAAGAAGTACAAATGGCCAATAATTATATGAAAAAGTGTTCAGAATCTTTAACTGTGAAGGAAATAAATGGAAATCAAAACTATACTGAGATTCAGTCTCACCCCTGTCAGAATAGCAATCATCAAAAATGTAAGTAAGAATAAATGCTGGTGAGGATTTAGGGAAAAAGAAACTCTTGCACACTGTTGGTGGGGATGTAAATTGGGACAGCCACTATGGAAATCAATATGGAGGTCCTTCCAAAAATAAAAAGTGAAAACAGAACCACCATATGAGCCAGCTAAAGCTCTTCTTGGTATATAACCAAAGAAATTAATATCAGCATACTATAGAGATACCTGCATACTCATGTTTCTTCCTGCACAATTCACAATAGCCAAGTTATGCTGTCAGTCAAGAGATGAGTGGATAAAGAAAATGTGATATAGATACACAATGGAGTTTTTTTCAGCCACAAAGAATGAAATTATGTCATTTGCAGGAAAATGGATGGAAGTGGAGAGCAATATGTTAAGTGAAACAAACCAGGTTCCAAGTACTGTATGTTTTCTCTCATATGTGGAGGCTAGAGAGAAAAAAGAAAGGAAAAAAAAAAGCATGATGATGGGGGGAATCTCATGAAAACAGAAGGGAGACCACTAGGGTAGAGAGAAAGGAACAGGGGAAGGAGGAGAGGTGGGCAGGGGGAGGCACGGGGGGAATGAAATAGATCAATTTTGTTATATGCACATATGATTATGCCACAATGAAACCCGCTATCTGTATAATTGATATGCACCAATAAAAACTATTTAAAAAGTAAAGCATATGGGAGGATCATATAAGTTAAATGCAAATACTGCACCATTTTATATAAAGGAATTGGGCATTCACAGATTTTTGTATCCTGGGGTCCTGGAACCAATCCTCTGTAGATACTAAGGGACAACCATAAACACTGGGTACGAAGTGGAGGCAACATGAGATTGTCTACTCTACCTGCTGGGTAGGAAGGCCTTTGAAAGTGAAGAAGAAGTCACAATTGTAAATATATTTATCAAGCTACAATTTCTTGACTAATAATAAATAATGGCTAACGTTTACCAAGCATAATATAGTCATTGTCCTAAAGGCTTTTCAAGCATAAATAATTGAATATTTATAGACACTAATTATTTCCATATTTCCCTGACGGTGTTTTCTTTATTTACTTTAAGAAGCTTTATTTGGGGCTGGGGTTATAGCTCAGTGGTAGAACGCTTGTCTCACACATGTGAAACACTGGGTTAAATCCTCAGCACCACATAAAATAAATAAATAAATAAAATAAAAGTATTGTGTGTCCATCTACAACTTTAAAACTATTTAAAAAAAAAAAAACAAGAAGAAGAAGAGGAAGCTTCCAGCAACTTAGAGGCTGAGGCAGGAGGATTATGAGTTCAAAGCCAGCCTCAGCAACTTAGCAAGGCCCTAAGCAACTCATTGAGACTTAAATAAAATATTTTTTAAAAAAAGAGGCGGGGAGGGGCTGGGTTGTGGCTCAGTGGTAGAGCGTTCGCCTAGCACGTGCGAGGCCCTGAGTTCGATCTTCAGCACCACATAAAATAAATAAATAAATAAATAAAGGTATTATGTCCAACTATAACTAAAAAAAATATTTTAAAAAGAGGGGGGTGAGAAGTGGCACTTGGGATGTGGCTCAGTAGTTAAGTGCCCCTGGGTTCAATCATTTGTTTAAAAACTACTGCAATCACTGGGCACAGTAGTACATGCCATAATCCCATCTACCAGGGAGGCTGAGGCAGGAGGATTGCAAGTTCAAGGCCGGCCTGTGCAACCTAACATAATCTTGTCTAAAAATCAAAAACAAAAATGGCTGAAATGTAGTTCAAAGGTAGAGTGCTTTCCTAGCATGTTCAAAGCCGTGGGTTTAATCTCCAGTATGAAAAAAAAATGAGGATCATCATGAGAACATACATACACTCAGCGGGGGGGGGGGGGGTCCTTCCTGCCTTATTCTCCACTGTGTCCCTGCTGTGTAGGAGTTGCTCAACAAGTCTTTATTGAATGAGTGAATAATCTTTTCCCCTTTCTGAACAGTTAGATTTAAATTTTTGTGAGTTTAAAAAAATCAGTTGGATAAAATTGCTACCTGTCATAAGTTTGAGGGGCGTCTGCACCATCTTTTCCTCCTGCTTGTCTGCCATCAATTGTTTACAAGTAGGGACTTGCTGGCAGACATATGGGTACCCGTCCCCTGTTCAGTAGATTGTTGGTGTTTGATGAAATTATATCACAGATGTGATTACTCAGTAAGAGGTAAGTAAGTTGTCCAGGCTGATATGTGGGAAAGAATTGCCGCTTGGGAAGTACGGTCTCATGTGTAAAGGTATTGCCATCTGGAAACAGACATGCAAAAGTGATATTCTAGTGGCAAACTCAGTAAAGGAGCAATGCCCAGAAGAGTCCATCTAAGGAAAGCAACTTTGTAGAGGAAGTGACATGAGGAGGTCTGTGAGCACACACCTAACCCCGCATATTTCTGGGCACACAGATGGTATTGGGCAAATAGGTACTGGTGACCAATTCACTTTAACAGTCATGGCAACGGCACCCACCTGAGTCTGTGGGCAGGTAGAACACCAGGCTGGTTAAGAAAGAGAAGAGCAGGCAGGGGATGATGACGTTGACGATGAAGTAAAGAGGCAGGCGCTGCATGACGAAGTGGTAGGTGATGTCCAGGTAGGGGGTGCTGGGGCAGCAGGTATAGAATACCCAGTGCTTCCAGCCCCGGGCCTCCTTGATCACCCATTCCCCGCTCTCCATGAAGTTGCTCAGGTCTGGCTGGTCACTTTCCTGAAAAATGAGATGAGGTTTGGAAACCCTAGCCAAGTTATCTGGGGGGTGGGGGAGGGCAGGGTTTTGTAATCAGCCTGTGATAAGGTAATAATCCCCAGTTCTGTGGGCCACATATCCAGAAGGGACTTGGGGCCATCTCCATTTTGGTGTCTTGGATTTCTTTCACATAACATAAGGAATTTAGATTACTGGGATTCTTCATTTGGGTTCCATATTCAAGTATCTGGGAGAGTCATAACATTGGCTACTTAGCCCCATTCCAGATGGATTGAATCAAAATTCTTGAGACTGTTCTGGGCATAAGGAGTTTCTTTCAGTTCCAAGATAGTTCTTATGAGCAGCACATCAAGAACCATCCTGAGAACCATCAGACTAGAGCCTCCCAAGTTTTAACTGGTTTTGAGAGCCTGTGATTATCTAGGGGCAGAGTCAGAGACCTGAATCACACTTCTCCTGAAACCAGCATCATCACACGGAGTCCCTACCTACCGGGTTGATTACCACCACAGAGCCATCATAGGTCCAGGTGCCCAGCTTCATGCTGCAGTTCTGCTCATCAAAGGGAAAGTGAGTGACAATGATCTCACAGTAGCTTTTGAAGATGGCTGGAGGTGTCCATGTGATGTGGCCCGTGTAGTCCAGGAGCACTTTTGTGAACTTGACAATAGCAAAGTCGCCATCTGCACTGCAATTGGGATAAGGGAAGAAAAGGGTTCCAAGTGACAGATGAGCCTTCCACTCTGCCTGCAGATATTAACAGGAGACAGCTGCTAATTATTCTAGTACTAATTATAGAAGCTTGCTTTCTGGTTGTGTTGCTTTTTAAATCTATGGCAGTGTTTCCCAAATTTGTCTGATAATAAGAGTCACTGGGGTGCTTATTACAGATGCAGATTCCCGAGCACCATTTAAGTCAGCTCTGAGTTAGACTATCTGGGAAGGAAGTGGGAATCTATGGGTTTAAAGAAATAGCAGGTAACATGGGTACACTGCATCTCAGATGTTCTTTCTCTGTCCTCAGTGATATTTGTAATGTTCATATCCACCTATATCCTCAGGATATACTTTGAGAGTTAGCTCGGAAAGCAAAGCAATTTAAAATAAAATGTTTCTCCAGTAGCTCCTTACTGTGGCAAGGGGTCTGTTACATTAAGAACCATTTAGGATGGGGAGTGTGTCTCAGTGGTGGAGCCTTGCTTGGCATGCAGGAGGCCCCATGTTCAATCCCCAGCATGGAGCACAAGGTGATCTATCAAGTGGGGTGGGATCATGAACTCAGATTAAGGGTGAGGCAGGTAAGAAATGAAGAAGGAGCCCCCACACAGTGCTGCGTATGGCCACATGGGAGTAGATGCCCATTGTTGCCAGATATTTGGCTTTTTTCTTGGTCAGAAGGTGAAAACATACATTTTTTGAGTCAAATATTTCCTTTTTTTTTCCCTCCCCCAGCCCCAGGGTTGGAGATGGAACACAGGGGTCTCATGCATGTTAGGCAAGTGCTGTGTCATTGAGCCATTGCCCTGCCCCAAATTTTTCACATTTTTTATTGTAGAATTTTTCTAGACAGGCTAAAAATCTAAATTTTAATATGATATTTCCTGATTTTCCAATGGTGGATATATATATATTTTTTAATTTATTTATTTATTTATTTTTTGAGAGAGAGAGAGAATTTTTTAATATTTATTTTTCAGTTTTCGGTGGACACAATATCTTTATTTTATTTTTATGTGGTGCTGAGGATCGAACCCAGTGCCCCGCACATGCCAGGCAAGCGCGCTACCGCTTGAGCCACATCCCCAGCCCTATATATATTTTTAAATCAGGGAGCTGGGCACAGTAGCACATACCTTTAATTTCAGCTATTTGATAGGCTGAGGGAGTAGGATTAGAAGTTCAAGCCTAGCCAAGATGATATAGCAAGACTCTGTCTCAAAATAAAAGAGCTGGGGGTGTAGTTCAGTAGTAGAGTACTTGCCTAGCATGCTTGAAGCCCTGGGTTCAATTTCAAGTACTGCAAAAAAATAAAATTAAAAAAAAAAAACATGGTATGTACTGAAAAGTAGCAATAAGCCACTTCTATAGGCCTTATTCAGTGGACATTCTTCCATAAACAGCCTGTGTCCAAGGGACTTTGCAAAAAAGTGAGGCAATCAGAATAGGTATTGAGGGCTGGAGGTGTAGCTCAGTGATCTAGCCTTACATGATTAGGACACTGGGCACCAGGAAGTAAGTATTAGAAAAGGAGTTAAATCAGTGGGGTAGGGTTTGCCCCCATGGGATTTTAGGGACTTAATGGCATGTATTGGTCCCTCCTGTTGTAAAACAAGAGATTTTTCTTTCCCTGACTTTTCCTTGGGACTGAAGTAGGATTCTTAATCCAGAGAACTGTGTGGCATTAGACTCTCCTGAAAGAGCAGAGGGTCAAAAGATTGTCTTAGTCTCTCCCAATAAGCAGGTAAACTGAGGTTCTCTCTCCACCAGGGTGTTCCTAAGCATGTCAGAAAGCCCAGAGAACTTTAACTGCTTCCCTCAGGTTCTGCCTGAAAGAAACTGAACATAGAGATTATGCTATGTCAGCATATTTGTCCAAAAAGTTTGTATCGCTGATTGGGTAATTTGGCTCAAACTTGAACCTAAGTGTAACTGGACAACATGTAGTAGAAAATCAAAGCTGGGTAGGCTGCCGTAAAGTGCATCATTTTTATCCACTGGCCCTTGCCCCACACACCCCATACATCTGCGGGAACGCACAGCTTGCTCCCCAGACCCACATGGAGTGATGTCAGACTGTAAATCCTCTAGGCCAACGACAAATGCTCCTGTCTGGGGAGGATGCTCTTTGAAATGAACATTCCCTGACAAATGAAGGGCATATGATAATGAACGTGTCATTAAACCGGAGCGTCTTGAATCACATTATAATTTCACAACAGGCAGTCTGTCATGGGACCTGGTGGATGGGAATGCAGGCATTCTGGACCATCAGTGTCAGGATGACGTTCAGGACGTGATGAGTATCAACCTCGGGAGCACAGACCGATTAGGTAGGAAGGACATTTGATTCCAAGGAACTTGGGGATAAGAAGTTTGGGTGCTTTGGATGGTTGCCACACACTCCTCAGGAGCTCTCAGGGATTAAATGCTCCCCACCCACAGTCTTGATCCAATTTGGCTCTGATCATTGTTTCTATTTGTAACATGAGACACCATATGGCACTGCCTGGCCTGTCAACGTGGCTCTGGTTTTTAAGGGTTATTTAATGTTAACGTGGTGAGAAGCAGGCCGCAGTCAGCCCTTCCATGCGGACACGGGGCTCCGCCTGCCCCAGGAATCCCCCTCCCCGCCTGTCTGCTTTGCTTACTTGTTATAGAGAACAAAGTCCGGCCGCCAGATCTTTTCAGAGGGAATGTGAATTTTTTTCACACCGCCATAGTCATCTGGATTCCATTTTAGGTTGTAATCCACCCATTGCTGGAAATGAAGACATTGAAGCAATTAAAAAGTCAAAAACATTTTATAAAATGTTTGGGGGGTAAAGAGCCTTCATGACCTCAGTAATTCAGAAATGGACAGAAATTATGTTTGGATAAGGAAAGTCTGATTCAGAATTCACCTTTTACTTTAGCCAACAGTAACAGCAAAGTGTGCGCATGAGTACTAAGTACTGGACCCAGTCCTCACAACAGTCCTATAGAGCGATTAGTGACCTTAGTTTACAGAAAAGGAAGCAAAGAGACCCCAGGTCACACAGCTGAGGGTGGCAGATCCACCAGGCCATACTGTCCACCCTCAGGACTTCAGGAGATTGGTCCTAATGCCAACATTTATGGCAAGCAGGCAAAGTCATTTCTAAAAAGCATTATATATTTTCCTGCACTAAAAAAAATATATGCCCAATGTAGCGAATTTGGTTTTTTTTGTTTGTTTTTTACTGTGGTTGTTGTTTTGGTACTGGTAATTGAACCCAGGGGCACTACTCTACTACTGAGCTACATCTTTGTCCTTTTTATTTTTTTATTTTGAGACAGTGTCTTTACTCAGTTGCTGGCCTTGAGCTTGGAATCCTCCTGTCTCAACCTCCTGAGTCACTGGGATTATCTGGCTCAGTGTGGCAAAATGGGATAACACAAAGGTATGGGCTGAATTGTGTCCCTTTAGAATTCATATGTTGAAGTCCTAACTCCCAGTGTTTCAGAATGTGACTTTATTTGGAAATAGGGTCTTCACTGAGATAACTAAGTGAAAATGAGGCTGTTAAGGTAAGCATTACTTCAATATAACTGGTGCCCTTATAAAAAGGGGAAATTTAAAAACATCTATGTCTCTCAGATGTATACCCAGGGAGAAAGCCATGTGAACATGATCTCATCTACAAGCCAAGGAGAAAGTTCTGGAACAGACATTCTCTCATAGCCCTCAGAAGGAACCAACTCTGCTGGCATCTTGACCTCGAACTCCAAAATGTTAAGATGATAAATTTCTGTTGTTTAAGCCACCTAGAGTGTGGTACTTCGTTATGGTAGCCCTAGCAAATTCAGAGCATAGAAAAAGCCCTGGGTTTAAAAAACAAAATAAAACAAACAAACAAAAAAACCCCAAAACAACAACAACAACAAAACACAACAGGGTCTATATTCTCATCATTCTAAAATCCTTACTTTTAACATTTTAGTGTATGTACCTAAATTGATTTCCTCTGGGCCCAGGTTTAGTTTCAAGGAGAATAAAAATAACATAAATGCAGTTATCGTGCTGGATTACCTGCTTCAGACGAACATTGGTTGTCACAATCTGATTTACTTCATCCTGAAAAAAGAAAATGTCTCCTCTTTAGGGAATGGAGAGGCAACCAGAAGGCAGAGTGCCCCCAGGTGTGAGGGGTGGGTGCCATCCCCCCCCAGGCCCCTGTCTCACCACATTGATGAGCTGTATCAGCTGCAGGCCCACGGTGACCTCCACAGCCTGGTGGTGGTCCTCCACTGGCCGGACCACGCTGCTATAGTTTTTAAATAGCATTGCCAACAGACGGGTCTCATGTTCGGAGCCCAGGACAAGACCAGCTGAGAAGCAAATGACACAAACCCGGTCAGACACCACCCCCACCCTTCATTCACTACACAAGGAAATCAAGGCAAACCCAGAGCTCGGAAGGCAGGCGGGGCCTCTGTCAAAGGGCTCCTGGGTGCAGGTTTTGTTGCCTTAAGCTCCTTTCCAAGGGCAGTTGTTGGCATGGCGGATTATCACAACACTTGTACTTTGGACAGGTGACATTCCTTAATATAGTCCCTGGCTGAATCAAATTTGCCAGGAACATGCACACAGAAAAGCCAATGTCAGTGTTTCAGAGTGGTCATGGGATAGTGAAATGTTGGACAAGGTGGCCTCAGATCGGATGATGCCAGGAACAGTCAAATATAGGTGCTCAATCGCACTCCTCAGGAGGGACATGCTTAACAAAACAGAAAGTAATGAGTGCTGGTGAGGCTGTGGAGACGCTGAAACCTCCCATGTTGCTGTGGGAATGTAAAGTGACAGGTTCTCAGCAAATCTGAGTTATCATATGATCCTGCAGTTCTACCCCTAAGACCATACCCAAAAGAATAACAGCAACATCCAAAAGGTGGAAACAGCTCAAGTGTCTATCCATAGATAAATGGATGATCTAGGTGAGGTGGCACACACCTGTAATATCAGCTACTCAGGAGGCTGACACAAAAGGATCACAAGTTTAAGGCCACCTGAGCAATTTAGTAGACCCTGTTTCAAAAAAACAAAAAAAACAAAAGGACTGGGGGATAGCTCAGAGCTATAGCACCCCTGAGTACTGGAGTCAGGGTGTATACATAAATGGATAAACAAATTGAAGTAGATCTGAACAATGGAACATTATTCAGCCACAAAAAGGAATAAAGTACTGATCCATGCTACAGCACAGGTGGACTTTGACAACATCATGCTGAGTGAAAGATGCCAAATGTAAAGGGACACATGTTGTACGTTTCCTTTTGTAGAAATGTCCAGAATAGGTAAAGCCACAGAAATGGAGAGATCAGAGGTTTGTGGGCATTGAGGTCTGAGGGGCGACTGTTATTGGGTTTAGATTTTCCTTTTGGGATGATGAAAATGTTCTGGAAATAGTTAATAGTAATATCATTTAACAATGTAAATGCACTGAATACTGCTGACTTGTACACCTTAAAATGTTCAAATGATAAATTCATACAATGTGTGTTTTACCATACTTTTAAGCAATCACTGCTGGCTGATACACATCTCAGTTGTTAAAAAAGTGAAAACCCTGTGCTTTGTTGACTGGGGTTGAGGGCTCCTGTTGGGAACATGAGTGACCCCATCTTTTCTACATTTCCTTCAGGATAGAGAGCGGCATCACCAAAGACAGCCCTTCTCTGCCCAGCAAGTTCTGTGGTCCTTAGCAGCCTCAGATGAGGCAGGCAGACATCTCACCAGAGAAGGTGGCCACTTGCCCAAGATTGAGCAGCCAGAGGGCAGAACTCTGAGCAGAACCCTGTGCGTGCTCCTGCACCAAGTCTTAATCTCGGAGTGTGGTGTGGCTATGCTGGAACCTCACAACCACATGCACCTTTATTCCTGGGAGAAAATGTGTTCCAAATTCCAGCAAGTGTCTTGTGAAAGAGCTTTGTAACTCAAGCCACACAGGGACGGAGGACTGTCTGCTCAGGGTAGTAGACACACGATTAGAGGAAGGAGACGCACGATCCTTTTACCCTGGTTTGTGTAACCAGATCTCCCCTTTCCGCAGGTTATTGCTGAGGCCACCAGAACTTCTCCGTAGGCCAAGAAAATTTTAAATGTTGAATGAGTGAGATGCTTTCCCTTTTTGCCCAGTAGTATTAATTTTTAGCCTCTAAGATAGGTTATTTTTTATTTTTATTTTTGGGTACCGGGGATGAAACCTAGGGGTGCTTAACCACTAAGCCACATCTCCAGCCCTTTTTTTATATTTTATTTTGAGATAGTGTGTCTCTGAGTTACTTAGGGCCTTGCTAAGTGGCTGAGGCTGGCTTTGAACTTATGATCCTTTTGCCTCAGTCTCCAGAGCCTCTGGGATTACAGGTGTGCACCACTGCGCCCGGCAGGTTATTATTTTTCTTTACTATTTTTCTACTTTGATTCTACATTTGGAAGAGTTTGTAAAAAATAATTATTAAATAAAAATTAATTATATATTTTCTCTTTTTATTAGTCAATGAAAATAATAACCAACACAACAATTTGTTATATGCAGATATTTATATACATATATTTACTTAATACATTCTAACTCAATTCTCACAACTAGATGCTACTCTTATCTCTACAGATGAAGAAATTGAGGCACAGGGAGGTTAAGTGACTTGCCCATATTTCATAAGAGTAGATTCAAGAACACAAACCCAGAGCCCGGCTCTCAACCATGATTTCTCACCTAGGGCTTTGGATTTGCTGGAAATCATCATTGTAATGCAACGAATTGATACATTTTCACCCCTTTGTAAAATGTGTATTTTAATGATCCCAGAGAGCCTTCTTCAAGCCCCTGTCTTTGTATTATCATCTTGAATCCTTATAATGATCCTTTCAGGTTACTTTTTACCCCCACTTTACAGATAAAAAAACTGAGGTTCCGAGCTGAGCAATCCATCCCTGGTTCCCCTGCCAGTTAGAGGTGGGATTATAGCAGAGGCAGTTTACCTCCTCCCTACAGATAAATGTATCATTTCCATACAGATTATTAAAGCTTTCAGTGTAGCTTAAATACCTTTATTGTTATCTTCATAGACTCCAGGTAGAGAACTCTTGTTGACATAGCCTACCTCTTCATTTCTAGTATCCCCAATTTTCTGAACCTCAAAATTCCCAGGCTACCAAACCAAAGCTTCGAAGGATACCAAGGTACATAACTCCACAGAGCTTCCACATGGCACCCCCCAAATGCCACCTGCATTTGGCAACTCTCCAAGGGAGTGTATAGTTCAAAGATGCAGATTTTGTAATTGCTCCACTGAGCCCTTGGGACATGGCAGTGCTCCTGTCTGCCATGCCTTGTCCATCCCAGGCCCCACCCACCACAGGGACTGGGCCCAGGAGTGGGTCGCTGAGCCTCTTGGCTGTCGTTTTGGCATTGTCCTGGGCTACTTATTCTTAAATGATTGTTTATTCCAGTTTGACAGCAATAATACACCATTTCATAGATTGGTTTCATTGCACAGGTTAAAGGGACGAATATTTATAATATTCAAAGGAAGAATTCTATGAATCCCTTCCCAACTCCAATATGGTTTGAAGAGTATGGTCAGTTCTTCATGGATTTAGTGAATCATAGTAAATAACTTTTATGAAAAGTCAGTGTATAAATAAACAGATCATGTCAGAATCTCCCTTTTTGGCAAGATTTTCTTGGTAATTTTTAGTCAGATGGTGTAACATTATTCATTCATCAAAGATTTGTTGAGTATTGCTGTATTGCTATAGGAGTTTGGAGATATATGAGCATTGCTATAGAAGTTTGGAGATATTCAAAGGTGAATCTGGCACAAATCCTGTCTTTCTGTCTTCATAGAGATTGACATGTGTCATTAACATAAATAACCGTGAATGAGTTGGAAAATTAGATGCCATGAGAAAGATGACAATGAATTACTTGGGATTACAAAGGTGGAAGAGGTTGAAATGAAAGGTGCTGTGTAAATAGAACAGCAATGATTGTATGTTCAGATATCATAAGAAAAACTGTTCTGATATGCATGAGCATTTTACCCAGAGAGGACTGATTGAGCCATAATTCCAAGTGTGCTTTTTGTATCATACTGGTCCAACTTGTGTTTCTATGTAGGAAAGAGCCTCTGGGTTGGGCAAAATGACTTTTGGACTCTTACTAAGTAAGTCACTGTGGGTAATTCTAATCTCTGATGCTGTGTCTCTTGCTACCTTGGTAATTTCAGGCTACTTTCTGACTATGCATCTAACAAAGTCTCCAACTGATCACATTCCAAAATTTATAAATTAAGTGACCTTGGGCAGGTCAGTTCTATCTTTCAGCCTGTTTCCTTACAATAAAAATTGAGGTGTAGGAATGCCTGATCTAGCTCTAAATTTCTATGAACCACCCCTGAGAATCAATACTAGCAAACTTTAGGTTTGATCAAAATACATATTGTAAACTTCTTTTCATAGCTAAACACACATTTTTAGAGGTCTTTGGTATCCTAAGAGATCTCTTAAGTATTTTTATAGAAGCATATCGCTTAGGAATTTTCATTGAGTGTGTTATTTGAGCATGCACACACACACGCACTCATACACACCAGGCCAGCTTAGGTTGGATCGAGTCCAAATCCCACAGGATATAATTTAGCTGAGTTTAAACTATTTCCCTCAACCCTGCTATTGAAAAAATTAATAATATAGCTTTTTACCTCTTGTCCAGAGTCCTGTGCTTATCAGAGCAATATTTAAAAAATCACAGAATGTAAGTTACCTTATTTCTCAGTTGGGATGATATCACCAGTAAACTTTTACATGGAGCAATCAGCAAACATCTCCTATTTCCCTGTATCGGAAGTTTGGGATTCAGGATAGTGTTTCAGCTGCTGTGTTGTGACACATTCCAGAGCAGAGTCAGGTCAAGGGCTGTATAATTTTTTATAGCTTCAATTCAAATCCACACCTACATTTGGTAACATCCTTTTTTTTTTCCCCCCAAGAATAGCAGGAATGCCTTCATATGGACATTTTTCACTTCAGAAGTTAAAAAAATTACAAAACAGTTCATCTCTATGAAGAGTTTAGTTACAATTATTAACAGGCTTCTCTTTATAGCACATGTATCTGTCAATCAATCCTCTTCATTGTCAGAATTCTCTTAGAGCCACTAACGGCTTTGTTAACTCTATTACTTGTGATTAGAAGTTGCTGCGCTAGGTCCCCATTGTTCGAATTTGTTCAAATTTGAAGGTATCCCCAGGTTGTGACAGTGGTCTACCATGTTCCAAGTTCTATAAGTCAGGCCCTGTGGCTGAGCAGGACACCAGGCACTGATAGAGACCTGGATGTCTCTGACAGGGCAGTTCCTATTTGATCTGGATAACATGAACTGAAAATTTTTATTCAAAAACCCAATCAAACAACATGAGGAAGAAACTGAAAAGAGTAACCTCTGACTGGTGAGGCCCTGTGGTTCTGCGTTCCTTTTGAAGAAGCATGGGAGGGCCTCTAGTTCTTCAACCTTAGAGAAACTCCCCCACCTTCGGTGCTTACCTGAGCAGAGGCCAAGGAACAGGAGGAGAGGCCGAGGCTCCATGGGCTGTCAGTTCTGCTGTGGACTGGGAGCAGCGTGGTGGTCTGTGCTCCTCCCTGGCACACTCTGGCTGGACACTTGGCTGCTGGAGGGCTTGGAAAGCCGGTCAGCTCAGTGGAGCTATTGTCTTACACCACCTGTTTATGGCTGCGACAGCTGGTCTATCCTTGGCCCTAGAGCCTAGAGCTGCAAAGGGCCTTATGCAGTTACAGGTGTGACTCTCTTTACACGATTGCTATATTTTTAACAAGCTGAGTATGAGCTATATTTTATGTATACCTATTTATATTTCACACGTATATATATATATTTTTCCTCCCTGTACTGGGAATTGAACCCAAGGGTGCTCTACTGTAGAGCTACATCCTCAGTCCTTTTTTGATTTTTATTTGGAAATAGGGTCTTACGAAGTTACCCAGACTGGCCTTGAACTTGTGATCCTTCTGGCTCAGCCTCCTGGCTCACTGGGATTACAGGCATGTATCACAAACCTCAGCTAAGCTGTTACATTTTAAATACATCATGAGTCTTGTCTTGTTTTGTTTTGTCCTTGTGGTGCTAGGGATCAAACCCACAGCCTCTCATATGCTAATATGCACTTTACCACTGAGCTACATCCCCAGCTCCAAGAATCAGTTCTTAATGGAAGAACTTGCAGGAATTATTTTAAGTGGTGAGCAACCCCCTCCCTTTTGTGTAAACTAGAATGCCACCTATGTGCATTGATTCAATTAGGGTCACTGGGTATGCATAGATGTCAGCTGTTCGTGTAATCCTCCTTAGTCACGCACATCTACATTCTCTGAACAAGAAAATGCACTTCCTGTTTCAGGGTTAGGCAGAGCGCGCCTGGAGCCTTTGTGACAGAAGTGTGTGGTTGGTATTGAATCTGCCACTGGAGAGGTCCATATTTGATTGGGCTGGGCTTTTAACAAAGACGTGTCTTTCATAAAACTGGTTTCTCTGGCCCCCAAGTGGCTGTTCCAGCCCCTGTCTCTGTGTCAGGCAGGACTCATTCCCTGTGAGCCATTAGCTGGGGCAAACGGCCCACCTCCCATGTACCATGTTATTCAACCACAGAGAGATTACTGGGAAGAAGTGCCCACCACATCAGCAGTGGCTCCCTATTCCTACTTCCTTCCGCCCATTTGCTGCCTACTCTCACTCAAGGAAGCAAAGAACAGAGTGGTTCAGCTTTTCAATTTCTTTGTTTAATAAATTCCTAAGAACCAGCAGTGATTCCCCGTTCCAAGAAGTACTTTTTACCAAACTGAGCTGCTTTGCAAGATTGAGGTCAAAGGAAGCAGGAAGCAGTTCTTTAAAGATACTCAGCCTACTCCTTCTGTGACTCCTTCCTAGACTGAATCAGGTGAGGAAAGTCTCTCACCTCATGCCCAAGGACATAGGCATCCTGACAAATTGCCCACCCCAGTGGGACCAAACAAATAATTAGAGCAGGGGCTTGGAGGATAAAGGAGAAAGCTGCATGCTCACATTACTTACATATTTCTATGTAAATTGCAGGAGACCAGCAAACTGTCTGATAAAATAATTGGTTCTCTCCCTTCCATAGCATAGCACTGTGACTGTTTGCTAGAAAATACATCCCTCATACAACCTGGCAAGCCCCTCTCATCTATGTAGAGTCATGTGACTGAGTTCTGGTCAGATAAATGTGAAAAGAAATTTTCTTAGACTCATAACCTACCAGAGTTCATCCACGCCCTTCTAGACTTGTGACTGGCAGGAATGGATGCAGCCCCCAGGGCAACTTGGAAACCACATGTGGAAGATGGCTTTGCTTAGACATCTTGGATCCCTGAGTGACCACGTGGAGGAGGACACTCCATTGCTCTGGTCTCCTCATAGCACTATTTCATGAATGAGAACAAAACATTTATCATGTGCAGCCATTTAAATTTGTGTGTATAGCAGCTAGTATTATCATGATTAATACAAAATCTAGTCCCTTGTACAGGGGTCCTCTGGTTAAAAATAAACTCTAAAATATATAGCGCTTTAGAGAAAGTAAAAAAAAAATCTACAGGTGAGGCTGAAAAGATGATGACTTGTGTTATATAGTAGCAAATTATTTAATAAAATTGTTGTCCTTAATTACTTGGTAAGCAAAGTGTTCAGTTAGCCTGTGATCCTAGAAGAAGGGGTTGGCACAAAATTCATGCCTATTGACTCTTCCTGGCTTTGTTTAGCAAGTCAATACAGGAAAGAACTGAGTTCAGTCAGGAACTGGCTGGTTCAAAATAACAGAAATGAAAAGGAATTAAATGAATCTGGAAATATGAAGCCCTGGATTTTGAACCCCAAAAAGTAAGTGATAACATACATAAAGGACTTGAAGCAACAAAAGGTCATTAAGACATCTCATTAAACAGTATTATAGTTTAGATCTAGAAATGTTCCCCAAAGGCTCATGTGTGGAAGGCTTAGTCCCCAGTGCATCAGTCAGTGTTCAGGGGTGGGACTTTCGGGAAGATGATTGGATCATGAGTTCTAACCTCATCACCATTGATTGATTCATAATTTGATAGAATTATTGGGTGGTGGAAACTGTAGGAGGTAGGGTCTAGTTGGAGGAAGTAGGTCACTGGGAGCAGGAGGGTGTGCTCTGGAAGGCTATATCTTGTCCTTGTTCTCTCTGTTCTTCTCCTTCTGCCCGTCTCTCTCTCTCCTCCCTGGTTGTCATGAGGAGGACAGCTTTCCTTGGCCTTGTGCTTCCACCATGATGCTTCTGCCTTGAAATCAGCTGGCCACAGGGTAAAGGGGATCAGGACAGCTGGGGAATTGCAGTTTTAAACATGGTGAGGTCTGGGGTGTAGCTCAGTGGTAAGTGCTGAGGCAGAAGGACAGTGAGTTCAAAGCCAGCCTCAGCAATGGTGAGGTGCTAAGCAACTCAATGAGACTCTGTCTCTAAATAAAATACAAAATAGGGCTGGGGATGTGGCTCAGTGGTCAAGTGCCCCTGAGTTCAATCTCCAGTACCCACCCCCCCCAATTAGATTTACTATATATACATTTCTAAAACTTGCAAAATATATAATAAATATGTTCTTAGTCAATAATGTAGCTCTACATTTTTATTCTTAATGACTGCAGAATATTCTGGGTTTTATTATTTTTTTTTAGTGTACCATAATTTGCTTAACCAATCCCTATCTTGATCCCTTGAATGCTTTCTTTTTTAATTTTTAGTTTTTTGTTTTTATAAATAATGATGCAATGGACATCCTTATACATATAAATCAACTCAATTTCCTGATAGTTGACCCAGTACTTTCACTTTTACTTGAAAATACTTAAACAACTTTAGTGCGTATCAAATAGATCGAATCTCCATTTAGAAGCCGCTAAAGTCATCTTGTCCTGCTCTGACCACAGCTGTTTTTCTATTACACATATCACCATTGCATGCTGTTACATTTATTTGTATAGTTATTGGATCAACATCTGTCTCTCTAGACTGCAAACTTGGACGTGTATTAACAGAGCTTACTTTTCCTCACTGTGTCCTCAGTTTGTAGCCAACAAATAGCCTGTCATGTAGTAGGTGTTCAGGAAATCACTGTTGATGAGAGAATGAATGGAGTTAAAGCTTAATTCAAGAATAGGGTAGATGCTTATAATCCTAGTAACTTGAAAGGTTGAGGAAGGAGGATCATAAGTTCAAAGCCATCCTGGACAACTTAGTGAGACCCCGTCTCAAAACAGTAAAAAATAAAAGAGGGGAATATAGCACAGTGGTAAAGTGCCCCTGGGTTCAATCCCTAGTAAAACACACACATACACACACACACACACACACACACAAAAAGAATAGGGTAGATCACACTAGATAATCGGATAATTCCAAAAGTGTTTATAATTGACTAATCATGACTAAAGTGCGTCACTTTAACCAATTCCACATTCTTGTGTGGTTTGATGAATGAGATAACTATGGCTTCTTCCAATGTCACTTTGGAAAGAACCCTTAGGCTGCATCCACATTTGGGTGGCAGGGTGCAGGAGCCAGGCCATCCTTCAGCCCGAGGCCCCAGGGTGCAGAGTTGAGTGCTGCAGTCCAGCGGCCAGCAGGTGGCGACAAACCGTTATTAAAGTGGCGGCAGAGCATCTGTGCCCTCTGGAATGAGGAGGGTCTTTGAGCAGAGGATAGGAAACCACTTGCTGTGCCCTAGGCCCTGTCTCCTGGAAATCTCGAGAGCCAGCCCGCGCCGCGGGATATTTTCTGCAGGGAGGCGACTCGGGTGCATTCCCAGGGACTCTGGAGCAGTGGCCTTCCCTTGCCTAACATGCGCTAGGCCCTGGTTTCATGCCAAGCGCTGGGGGCTGGAGAGCGAGAGTGTGTATGGCGGGGATGTAGGCGGGGTCGGCTCTCAGCCCCAGAGTGCAGCCCGTCTCCTCCCGGCTACAGCTTACAGCTCAAGGGCCATGTGTAGTTCACTTGAAAATGCAAACTTCAGTCTGGAGACTCCATCCAGTTCACGCCAAGTGACCTGCCTCTGTCTGAAATGCTCAGGTTCTTTTTTATTCGAGTTCCCCCACCCCGCACCCCACCCCAAACAAGGTCCGTGCCATGCTGTCCAGGCCCAGAGCTCCGTGGTAATTTTTGGATCTGTCATCATCGGATCACCGGGCGCCTTCCTATTATGTAAAAACTCGGCTCCGCCCACTCACCGGGGGTCCCCCCATCAGGGTGCTGTGTTTTGTTCAGACAAGGATGGTCTGTCTACCGTTCCCTGTCCTTCCTAGAAGGTTACTGAGCCCAGGGGAGGAAATCACCGTTTGTGGAGAATCCTGTTGTCTCCCACTTCAGTCTCAGCAATCCAGACAGGCAGATGTCACGGGTGTGCAAGCTCCATTAGGTTTTAAGGAGCAGAGCTGACCAGGGTGGAAATCAGCTATTTCTGATTCTAAACATAGTGCTCTGTCCACTACACTCTTGGTTCAAACTGTGCTCCAAGCAGCCCCTTCAATGGGGTCCATAAGAGCTAGGAAGGAGGAGGGAAGGTGGAAGAGGGTGAGGAGGCCCAAATGGTGGTGCTTCTTGCTTCCTATACAACAGCTAT